ATGGTACTTCCTGTCACACAGAAATCCTGTGACCATCGGGACTCCCAAAAAAACATCAATGTGTGTTTGTGTTTTTGCTTAGCAGTGATTTACAAAAAATCATGGTGGGTCTCTGTTCTGGGCTCAACAACAACCCCCCCATCACACAAACACACACACACACACACACACACACACACACACACACACACACACACACACACACACACACACACACACACACACACACACACACACACACACACACACACACACACACACACACACACACACACCCCTGGAGCTGGTGCTGCTGGAGGCCCCCTCTGGTTCTGTTAAGTGAGTCCTGAGTGAGACTGATGGGGGTCAAGACCCGCCACAAACACACTGATAAACACACTGATACACACAGATACACACTTTACATGTGTACACACTACTCACAATACTGTATGACGCAAATCAACACACACACACACACACACACACACACACACACACACACAGAGTGTTTACCCTGAGGCAGCTCGGTGTCAGACCCCCTCAGAGAGCTGCAGCTGTGTGTGTATCGCCACATGAGCATGTCAGTGTTTGTGCACGTGTGTATCTATATTGTGTTAGTGTATATATGCAAATGTGTTTGAAATCTGTGTGTGTGTGTGTGTGTGTGTGTGTGTGTGTGTGTGTGTGTGTGTAGGACAAACTTCCTCTCATCTCCCTGTATCGCTCTCCAACGACTTTTTCTCTCATGTTTTCATCGCCATTTTTATCCTGGTGATTTTATGTTTATCTTCTTCACCCTGAATGCTCTGGATTTGTTTGGACCAGAGAAGGTAGGCTGTTTTAAGGCGACCCCCCCAAACAGCCGTTTTGGACGCCCCTCGGTTTGCCAGATATGAGAGCAGTTATCAGGTCAACAGGTGTTGCAGCGATGGAAGCGGGCAAGAGAAGTGGTTCAGATAGAAGTGATTGTACCCGACCTAAAAAGCCTCTGCATGTTTCTAATAAGCTCCACGAGCAGAAACGTGCTCAAGACAGGGAGACAGCTCTCTATTTAGACTACAATAGTTTTTAGTAACCTTTTTCTCTTTTGTCTGTTATTTCATATTTTCTTTCAGACTGAATTTGGCCCCTCAGGTATTAAAGGGAACTCTACAGCTTAATTAAAATTAAGACAGTTTTATTCTGAACTCATTTAAAAAACGTTTTCTTCTAGTGTCGATGTACTCTGAGTCAAAGAATATGTTTAAACACTTTTGATTCTTGTGTTTTATCGTATCTTTTCTGTTTTGAGGCTTTTAGCTGCATCACTGATCTGCAGCTCGTCTGGAACATTTTCTCTGTTTTACCTTCCTCCATATAATTTTGTTACAGAAACATTAATGCCGTTTATTTTCAGGAGGAGTCGGTGTTCCTTCGATTTCTCCTCCTCCCTCACTCTGACTCATCGTTACTAATACATTTATGTCATTAGTTCTCCACCTGCATGTCGATGTCTCCTCTCTGCATGGAGGACTTTGGAGGAGGGATCATTGATTCGGAGCGGATGTCGATCCAGCTCTCACTGATCAATAGTTCACTTATGGGCAGCTTCAGGTCGGATCAGGAGCGAGACAGATGTTCTCAACATCAGCTGTTCTTCTCTTTAATAATTTACACAAAATTTAGGCCTATATGGTAGATTTCTTCAGAGAGAAACGGAGGTGTGTGGGGGGGGGTAATGCTAACGATGCTAACATTTGTAAAACAAGATTGACTGGTGCTACACTGGTTAGCGCTGTAGCCTTACAACTAGAACCAGAAGGTTCCTGGTTCCCTGAAGTTTGCATGTTCTTTCTGTACATGTGTGGGTGTACCTGCCACTCGCTGATTGACAGCTGTTAAGATTTTCACCCCTCAAATTCTTCTCAAGTTGAAGAAATCCAGCTCGAGCTAAAAGGCCAATCAGGAGTGAAGTTTTGGAGCAACCATTGAGATGTAATCGAAGGATGTCTGCAGAATCCTGAGGTGTGAAGCTTTCACAACACACATCAAAAAGATATCTAAAAACATCAAACATTAAACCCCTCAAAGACTTCCTATATGATGTGTGTTCCCAGGTGATTAAAGCATATTTATTTTATTATTTCTTCTAGTATTTGTGTCGTTTAGTCACATCCCGTATGGATAGATGATGTAGACAGTGCGCAGGAGATTTTCTGAATGCTTTGGTAGTTAAAAACAAGTTATGACCAAATATTGGGTCGCTAGGATTTCTATTTTTGTTGCCGTGGTATCTATATCGTTGGATTTTCACTAGTCATGCTGAGGATTAAAATTCTGACGGCAGCAGGCTGAAGATATTTACCAGATGTTCCTGTTCCTGTTTTTAAATGTTCACTCTCTTCATAGCACTCGTTGTTTGAGTCAATGTGAGCGTCTCTCTTCAGGTTCGGGTACGGGGAACTATTCTCTGTAAACGTCCATTTATCCTCTTTCTGTGTCTCCCTCCAGGAAGCAGAAGTGTGTAAGGAAGCTAATGGCTGGAGGCTTTTATTCCTCCCAGCCTCTAATGTGGTGCACGCACACACACACACACACACACACACACACACACACACACACACACACACACACACACACACACACACACACACACACACACACACACACACACACACACACACACACACACACACACACACACACACACACACACACACACACACACAGATGGACACCTACACAACCAAATCCCGCTGTGACATCATGATGGAGTGTCAGGTGCTGCTGGCTAATTTCTGCCTTGACGTGTGTGTGCAGCAGAGGTAGAGTGGATGGGTATGAATACTAAACAGCCAGCTAATGATATCTTTTCTTTAGTGTGTGTGTGTGTGTGTGTGTGTGTGTGTGTGTGGCAGTCAGCTAATGATATCTATTTTCTTAGTGAACAAGCCCACTGTGTATCTCTGCAGAGCCAACCGCTGTTTCCCACCTCCCCTGCTGACTGCACACACACACACACACACACACACACACACACACACACACACACACACACACACACACACACACACACACACACACACACACACACACACACACACACACATCACCATAAACATTCATCCTGCTCCCACAATGCATTTAGGCTTCCTGACAGAGAAAATGGCCGTGGCGATGGCTGAGTGATGGCGAGGAGGTGCAGAGGTATACTTCTCCTGAGCAGAATAAATGTGTGTTTTTCTTTCTGTTGTTGTTGTTTTTCACAAGATATGCAGGAAGCAAACAACTGAAACATCTTGTCGTCGACATTTTTGCAACATCCTCGTCTAAATATTCAGGAGACGTGAGGAAACTTTGTTTGGAAAAAAAAACACAGATTCTCTCTGATGAAGGGAAACATGTAGGGACTCACATCTGTAACAAAGTCAGAGCGATTCATGAATCTGAAAAGTGGAAGAAATTAGCGTTTGAACATCGTAAAACTGATCATCAAGGACGTCAGGATGGAGCTGATCATCATGCGACTTTATCATTTTCTTAACATTTAAATTTTTAATACAGTTTGAGTTTGACATTTTCACATTTTTATTCATGCTCCTATTTATTGTGTTTTTATTGTGTTTCATTCTATATGTTATTTTATTTTGTTGTTTTTACATTGTGTTTTTGTACAGCACTTTGGTCAATCAAGGTTGTTTTAAATTTGCTATAGAAATAAAGATTGATTGAACATGCATTTGAGTTGTTTAGGAGGAATCAACGAACATATTTTCATGTTGAGGGAGAGGCACAAGTAGAAGGACTTTGTGTATTTCTGGTGGCACTTTATGGTCATCTGTCGATCAGAATCAGATTTATTGCCAACTACGTCAAAGAATACAAAGAATCTGACTTTGTGTTTTGATGCTAAACGATGAACCGAGAAGTAGAATGAAGGAGCTGTACAGGATTAAGGTTCACTGCAAACAAGTGAAAAACAGATTAATGAAGGTGTGAAAGTCTGCAAGGTTTATGTATTAAGACCAAAAGAGAAACAAGTTCTTCTACAATTAAAAACATCAAAACAAATCTCGAGTGGATCAAAATAACCTGGGAACAAGAATCCTGCAAATTAAAGTCCTTTAAGAATCTCCTGGCCGAGACAGACTGAGCACATTTAACTATTTCAGATCAACCTTTCCCGAGTCACAGAGAAGTCTCATTGTATCTACAACCTGAAGCATCGTCCTCCAACACCTTTAATCTACTTTAAGAAGATTTAAAGAGACCAGCTCTCTCAGACACAGATCATCCTGCAAGAGCAGCGACCCTGAAACGCCTTTTCCCTGTTTAAAGACGCACTTTGGGGACGGACAACGAGAATAAGTTTAGTGACTGAGTGTCAGAGTGAAGACTGGCGCTTCCAGGTGTTCATGGAGGAGGAGGAGATCAACCAGCTGTTTGTGATTTCAGGATAATGTTACGAACTACGACATGTTTGGAGTTTGGTTGCAAAGATCGTCGATTAAATTTAAAGTATTTAAATTTAAAGTACATTTCTTATTTTAAAGTCGTTGAAAAATGCAAAAGGAAACTTGGCCTTACTGAAAAGTGACTTTCTGTACAATAATTTATCCTACTGAAGCTCTCTCTCTCTTTGCAGGACGGACACACACACACACACACACACACACACACACACACACACACACGATACTACCCCAGGTGTCGTGGCCTCTGACATCCTCTCGTGATGTCATTCCTTTGGCCTGAGGCAAATTGACCCCCGAGAGACATGAAAACAGGAGCCCTCTGTTAGTGTGAGATGTTGTCCTGTAGGAGCTCTGCATGTGTGTGTGTGTTTACTATATTATGTGTGTATTCTTGCTCTGTGTGTGGCCCGTCTACACACACACAGGACCTGCTGCTGTCTCATAATCTGATTGTAATATTCTAATGAAATTATCAGGAGTCTATTTCAAATTATGACTGATGGAGAACAAAGACACTCTCTCTCTTTCTCCCTCACACACACACACACACACACACAGACTCACTTCTCAGGATGCCGTTCATCACCGGGGCAACAGCAGCAGGCTGGGAGGATGACCTCTCACCCCTTGGGAGGTCAGGTCCCAGGGGTCGGCATGGCAACGATCCCTGGTGTTTAAAAAAAAAAGGACATGTGGGCATCTGGCTTAAAACAAGGACGGTCTGTGTGTGCTGGTTTTATCTTCAGGATGTTTAAATATCCTTTATAAATAAATAATAAAAGTTATAATTTAAACTGAACATTATAAATAAATGTGTTAAAGCAGAAGTTATGAAAGATTAAACAAGAGACAGGTTTTTTAAAAGTAAGGACAAAATGACAGCAGCGTAGACGGATATATTCTAATTTTTACTCCCTTCTATAGTTTAAAACCATTGATGTAATGGATCCTACATTTCCCATAATGCATCTCAACATCATCCTTTCCTCCTCTGTGTTCACTTCCATGAAGCTCGAATGTCACGTTTAAGTTCAGCTGAGACTCTAAATCGACTTGTGATGTTCAGAGAAAGACACTGCTGTTTGGGCTGAGATCTTAAGATGTTAAGATTTTGAAAGCTTTGTTGTCATGGTTACTGTACATTAAATGTTCATGGGCCGCCTTTTTGAAGCCTCGTGTTCAGCATTTGACTGTTTTGATCTTGTTTTCTTGAAGAGACGACCATGTTCACACAAGAAGGTGGAAGCACATTTCTACTTTTCTATCCTGACTGACAAGTTGCCATAGTAGCGACTTGTCAATCCAATCACAGGTAGCACCCGCCTTAAATCCTTCCCGCTTTAAGGCATGTGTTCACTAAATATGTTTTTTTTTTTGCTGCGAAAACCCTCACTTGAAAATAGTCAAACTCTATGGAATACCGCTGCACTCATCAATGTCACAACTTCCTTAACAACCAATCAAATTCCAGAAGGGGCGGGACTAAAACGGCAAGACTCTGAAGAACCGCTACCCTGGGGGAAACTTTGAAGGGAACCAGGAACTAGAACCTTCAATAAGTTATCGCCCCCCTGGCTTCGTCCTGTCCGGGGGAAAGTCCTATTGCACATGAGAAATGCAGCTTTAAGGTATTTCTGTTCTGGCTTCTCTTACAAGTTTTGTTTTTCGGGTCTTCTATATAAACGAGTGTTTGAATCTCCCCGCCTCTTTTATGTCTTTTTGTTTGATTGACAGCTCTGTTCTCCTACTGTTGCTGAGCCCTACGAGTCCTGCCAGCTGTCCGTCACATCGGCTCCCAACGATGACCCTTTCCCATAACCCCTTCCTCCTACACACACACACACACACACACACACACACACACACACACACACACACACACACACACACACACACACACACACACACACACACACACACACACACACACACACACACACACACACACACACAGGGAGAGATGGAGAGAGTGACTCTTTCACTAAGATGGTGTCAGTGTGAGAAATATCAATCAAAATGACAGAGACAGACAGGAACTCACACACACACACACACACACACTCACATGAACACACACATGAACACACAAATACACACTCTGTCTCTTTCTCTCTCTGTCATGCACCCATGCAGACATATAATCACTCCCACCACCAAAACACACACACTCTCTCTCTCTCTCTCTCACACACACTCACTCACTCTCTCTCTCTCACATACACACACTCACTCACTCACTCTCTCTCTCTCTCTCTCTCTCTCTCTCTCACACACACACACACACACACACACACACACACACACACACACACACACACACACACACAGGAGCAGCCAGTGTGAGTATGAGTGATGGCCGCGGCTCGTGTCGATCCATTACGGCGGTCTGGCTGCAGACAGGTGAGCAGGCTGATACATGAGCAGGGCTTTATCTGCACTCACCGACTCCCCACGCCGTTTCATTCAGCAGCTCGCAGCGTTAACAGCCTCACCCCCCCCCCCCCTCCTCACCTCCTCCTCCTCCCTCACTCACTCACACACCACCTTCATCTTCTCCACAAAGAAAGGAGACTTTAAAAAACGCAGGTACAATTTAAATATAATTTTGACTTTATTAATGGCGGCAGCAGGCGGAGAAACACGAGGAGCGTGTTATCTGAGCCGCCGCCATCACTCACGGTTTGCTTTAATTAGTAATCAAACACGCGCAGCAGGTGATCAGCTGCAAACATATTTATGTGAACACTTTACTTCAAAAACAAATTAATGACCTCAAGTTCATAATTTCAGTTAAAGAATAAAGTTGTTTCCTGCAGCCTGTTTGTTCAGTGTCAGCTTGTTCATGTGTCTTAAAGGTATAAACACACTTTAATGAACTCGTTGCTCTTCAAACTGCTTAGGTAAGAAAAGGCTGTCAGGATCATCATATCGCACAGATTTATTTATAGATAATTAAACCGTTTTAGACTTTATTCTGTTGTAAAGGTCTCCTATAGAAGATGACTAAATGTTTTAACAGTCAGTTTTTGAGGATGCATCTTTAGGGTCGTCATGATACCAGAATGTTAGACTTTGATACGATATGGGTAAAAATCAAACAATATCGACACGTTAGATATCACAGCAACAAAAACAGAAATCCTAAGCAGCCGATATCGGTTTTAAATTTCAAACTCCTGCACACGGTCTAAATTTGGTTCGGAAACTTGTGCAATTCAGACAGTGTATGAAGGAGTTTGCCTGCAACCTGTGCAGGACTCATTCCTCTCCTAAACACACATCTTATGAAACATATATGCAAAGTATTTTTTTTTAAATCAGCAATCTGCAGGGGGGATGGTTAGTACACATGCCCCATGTACGGAGTCTAAAGTCCTCCAAGCGGGTGGCCCAGATAAATCCAATGTGTGGCTTCTTTCCCGCATGATTTGCAGCAAAGGCCGCTGTGATGAGTTCTATAGACTCTGTACATGAGGTGAGGTTGAGTTCAGGGACTGAATTATCTGAGGGGACACCAAGCAGACAGCTAGCAGCTCCCACCTGTCACTCAAAGAGGCCCCCTAATTCTACATCACTTTAAGCCTTAATATAAGGAAAACAGGTGAGTTGTATAAACATTCAGCCCGTACAGTTGAAGAGAGAAATGAGATCTAGAGACCCAAACTGTTTTTGTACCAGGATGTAAACATGTTTATTTTAACACAGAGCTCTATGGAGACTGACTCACTGCAGGAGACAGACTCTAGTGGACACTGGAGGAACTGCAGCTGTAAAGTTGAACATTTTAACAAGGGGCTCTATGGTGACTGACTCACTGCAGGAGACAGACAGATTCTATTTCTCAACAAAGGAGCTGCAGTTTGGTTTTGTCCCACTTAAAGATGGATCAATTCTTTATATGTAAGACAAGAGGGGAAAACCAACAGGAGAGAATGAATCATAAAAAGCAGAGAAAGGGCAAGTGAGGGGAGAAGAGTGAGGAGGCATGAAAGTAAAATTAAATGTTGAAAATAAAAAAATACACACATAGAGGGTCTGTGCAGTCTCAGGTTTTGGCGAACACACTCCTGCTTTAGAGTAATGGATGGAGGTGTCAGACACTGAGCACTGTTTAACTTCAACCAGTCTGTACAGCTCAGTGTGTATGTGTGTGTGTGTGTGTGTGTCTGTCGTCGGTCTTATAGTCCTTTGCAGGTGTGTGCAAAAAGATCTATGAACAACTGGTGTAGCATAATGTTTCTGTGTGTGTGTGTGTGTGTGTGTGTGTGTGTTTGTGTGTCATATCCATCCATCACACGTGACTGACGCTGATTGCTGACAGGAAGTGCCTGTGGCCCTCCAGCTTCCTGATTGGCCCGTCCCTGCGGGCTCCCATCATGCAGTGGGGTTAAATAGCGAGGCTTTAAAATAACAAGTAGATTAAATTAAACTCCACATGTGAGAAAGTGAAACTCGCCTCTGATTCTCAGAATGTCTCTGTCTAACTTTCAGTCAACCTAACGACAGGCTGAGAGCTGGAGCTGAGGCGGGTTTTAAACCTCCTGACAAACCGTTACACTGCGCCCATCTGTCAATCAGGTCAGCTACACGCGTTATTGTGAATAACTCTTATCCTTCATCAAATCAAAACTGATGAGTCATCAAAACATTCACCCCCGTACAGTGTGTGTCGATCGAGACATGAACCAGGCTGTAAACATGTTAATCTCTGCTGTAAAAACAGACTTTTTAGAATGGGTGTGTATGTGACTTCCTGTGCTTCTGCAGCCAGCCTCTAGTGGACACTCCAGGAACTGCAGGATTTTACACTTCAACATCAGCTTCATTCATTAACACCGGAGGACGCTGCTTGAACCAGTGTTGCAGAAACAGTGTTGGGCTTGTAAAGTGGGATAGAGAAATGCAGGAAGAAGGCGATTACTACTTTTTGTCAGTAAAAAAAGAATGAAATGCATTAAAATAAAGTCTTATATTACTTTTTTTTTAAGCTTTTGTGTCTTTTTGTTCATAAAGCAGAAAATTAAAAATATAAAAGTCATGAAACAGAGGACACACAGGGGTTGTGTTTTTTTTTAGAGAATACACAACAGACCTGCAACACAAAGAGAAAGCATGAAAAATCACACTCATTAGGATCATGCACTCTCTCACACACACACACGCACGCACGCACACACACACACACACACACACACACACACACACACACACACACACACACACACACACACACACACACTGACCTGAACCATATTGTTTCCTGGACACACTACATAAATGTATTCCTGTGTGATATTGCCTGCAGCGTCCACATTACCATGATAATTCACGATGGTAATTTCTTTCTTTTTTTCACACACTCTCTTACGGTCAGTGTTTTTCTCTCGTTTCCTCTTCTGCATTTATCATAATGTGTCTCCTGTCCTCTCTCCACATGACCGTCATTTATCATGACCTCTGACCTGTATAAACTAAGTGTTCTAATATTTACCTTTTAGTAATATTAATAATGTATTTTACTTTTAGATAATATAATATGAACCAGGCTGTAAACATGTTCATCTCTGCAGACTTTTTAGAATGGGTGTGTATGTGACTTCCTGTGATCCTGCAGACACCCTCTAGTGGACACTCGAGGAACTGCAAGATTTTAACCTTCCAGT